TAATGTTTTGTAATTTTTCTTTTCAGACACATACTCATCAAATTTTGTGCTTTAAATTACTTGATTATTAGATAATGGAACTTAGGACGAAGTTTGGGTCGGATACTTACTGCTTCTAAAGAATTAATCCTTTTTTCAGCTCTGGGTATTTTATGCTTTATTATACTAAGAGCTTTTTGGTGTTCATGGTTAGGGTTAGATGATACCAAAGAACATAGAAATTAAAAAGTAATACTCAGCTGTGTTAAGTGGGTTTTTTTTTGTGAATCCTTTTCATTTTGATTATATTACCTGCCACTCATGTCCTTCAGCAACAAGTTCACTGTGCAGTATAAGAGTAGGCCTACAACTAGAAGATAACTTACCATGCAGTTAAAAAAACCAAAACCCAAAAGTAACCTGCCCCATGATTGTTTTGCTTCTGTCTTGTCCCAGGATGCTTATTTTGTTAGTGTTGCTCCACTCCTTGTCCCACCCCAGCGTGCGTGCGTGCGTGCGTGTGTGTGTGTGTGTGTGTGTGTGTATGTGTGTAAAATCTTGGAAATTGAGGATTCTTTATCCTTAGGATACATTGACCACTGCCTTTATTTGAAAGTTCCCAACAGGGAATTCATATAGTTTGAAAGATGAGAATTAATTATCAATAATTATGGAAAGTGAGTTATTTGATCATAATTAGATATACTGATAAAATTTTTTAATAAGTTATAATTTACTTTTTTTCGTAGTGTACAAAACAACTTGCAGCAGCTTTTCATGAGGAATTTGTTGTGAGAGAAGATTTAATGGGTCTGGCAATAGGCACACATGGTAGTAACATACAGCAAGCTAGGAAGGTTCCTGGAGTTACGGCTATCGAGCTAGATGAAGATACTGGAACATTTAGGATCTATGGAGAGGTAAGTTTTTTTCATTTTATGTTTTTTTACTGCATTATTAACATGTTAACCATCTGTTGTTTGCTAAAGTTTATTTAATTATCAGTTTGCTAATGAAACACAGTTTAGGGGAGATTTATTTAAAATTGTTGAGTTATTACTTGTGCGCAGGTTAACAGGGTATTGTACATATAAGCACTGCATATGTCCTGAATTTAAATCAGTTTTATGCCCATTACAAGTAATTTATTCAATTTTTCAAATAGTTTCTGTATTCAGTCATTGTCTGTAGTAAATAGCATAAATTGCCCCCATTTCAAGTGGTCTGGTTTATAGTACTGTCATAAGTTAAATATTTTTTTACTTTTTTAATGTTATTAATGCCTTTTTATTATCAAATACATTATTAGGTATAAGCAGTACAATAAGGATTTTGACCAACTTCCCTTCATATTTGTAATAATTGATGCTTCTTAATTTTTATCAAATGAAAAACAGAAGAATGGTGTTGCATTCATAGTTAAAACGTCAATTTCAAGTTCCATCCTGAAATACAATGTTCTCAGTGATAAGGTAATATCCATATGCATGCAAGGAAGACCCATTAACACAAATATTATTCAAATATATGCTTCTACATCTGGAGCCAAAGATGAAGAAATGGAGAATTTTTACCAGAGCTTGCAGTCCGCAGTTTACTGAACTGGAATGCAAAAGTAGGAAACAATGAAGAAGGAACAGTAGTTAGTGATAGAAATGAGACTGGAAAGGAAATGATTGAATTTTGTATTTACAATGATTTATTCATTGCAAATACCTTTTTAAAAGACTTTACAAATGGATCTCACCTGATGGGCTGCATAAGAATTAGACTACATTTGTGGAAGATATTGTTGGACATGCTCATTATCAATATTCAAAACTGGGCTGGGGTAGGCTGTGGGTCAGATCATTAATTACTCTCATGCAAGTTTAAATTTGAGGCCAAAAAAAAAAAGAAAATAAGTCCACAGGACCCAAGATACAATCTTGAATCAGTTCCATCTGAATTTAAAGATCATCTGAGGAATATGTTTGAGGCTTTGAACACCAGTGACTGAAGTGATGAGTCATGGTAAGATAGCAAGGATATCATCCATGAAGAAAGCAAGCAGGTCATTATAAAAATAGAGGAGAAAGAAAAAAAAAATTAAATATGTATCAGAAGAGACTCTAAAAATTACACTGGAGTGTTGAGAAGCTAAAACAAAAGGAAAACATGCTAAATAAAAAATCTGATCTTAGGGAGCTCTGGTGTCCTAGTGACAGGTAGCTGCACTGCAATTCCAGAAATACGTGGTTTGACTCCACCAGGTGCTATGCTAGAGAAGGAGGGACAATCTCCTCCTGTACCAGTCAGATCCGATTTGACGGTACACACAAAAAATAATGAAATAAAATAATTTAAAAAATCTGAGCAGAAGATGTCAAAGGGAAGCTCAGGATGACAAAGCAAATTATTATAATGAAATGTGCAGAGGGCTCGAATTGGAGACTAAAAAGGGAAGAACTCATTTTGCATTTTTCAAGCTGAGTTAAACAGGTTTAAGCCTCATGTCTCAATAATGAAAGGCAATATATTGAATGACCCAGAGCATCAACAGAAGGTGGAAGGAATACACAAGAATCACTGTAACAAAAAGAACTAATTGACACGGAAAAATTTCAGGAAGTACCATATGAACAGGAGCCAGTGGTAATGAAGGAGGAAGTAGACCCTATGTTGAAGGCATTGGCAAAAATAAGGCCCCAGGCATCAACGAGATACCACCAGTTGACTTGTTTAATTTAACAGATGCACCTCTGGATGTGCTCACCTTCCAGGAAATTTGAAGGACGGCTGTCTGGCCAGCGGATTGGAAACAGTCCAAAGGTGATCCATCTGAATGTAGAAACTATTGAACAATATCATTAATAGTATATGCAGGCATAATACTGCTGAAGATTATTTAAAAACAGCTAGAAAAGTACAAAGGTAACTGCCAGTAGTTCAAGCAGGATTTAGAAGAGGCCATGGCATCAGGGATATCATTGCTGATGTCCTAGCTGAAAGTAAAGAATACCAGAAGAATGTCCATTTGGGCTTTATTGACTATGCAAAAGCATTTGACTGTGTGGATCATAACAAGTTGTGGCAGACATTGAGAAGAATAAAAGTCCAAGAGCACTTAATTGTGCTCATGCAAAATCTATACCTGGCCCAAGAAGCTGTTGTGCGAACAGAGGAGAATACGGAATGATTTAAAATTGAGAATGGAATACTTCAGGGTTGTATTCTTTCTATATACCTGTTTAATCTGTATTCTGAGAAGCTGTACTCTATGAAGAGGAGTATGGCTTCAGGATTGGAGGGAGACTCATCAGTAACCTGTGCTTTACAGATGATACGAACTTGGTTGCTGAAATTGAGGATTTAAATCCTTCTGCAGAGCAACTGGTGGATTCAGATTGCATCTTTGAGACGGCAGCACAGCTTCTTATCACTATGTCACTATTGTCTAATGTGCTGGCCATTACAACTCTTGACAGCAACACCAATCTTACTCACCCCCAGTAGATACGCTCTTAAATCTATGCCAAGAAATTTGGAGTACAGCTAACTGGCCAGCAGACTGGAAGAGATCCATTATATGTTCTCATTGCTAAAGTTCATCCAGCAATATGTCAAAGTTACTGAACGGTAACAGTAATACCACGCAGTAGTAAAATCTTGCTGAAGATTAATAAAATTGGCCGAAACAGTATATGACAGAGAAAGTCAAACTGGATTTAGAAGAGGCTATGGTACTAGAGATGACTGGTGGACTTGACTGAAAGAGAATCCCAGAAGATGGATTCCGTGTTTTATTGACTATTCAAAGGTATTTCACTATTGAAGAAGATTGTAGTGTAAGGATCAGGGGGAAGACTAATCAACAACCTGCAATATATTTTAAATAGGTTTAGAGTGCCACTGTAAATGAACATTTTCAATGCACAAATGAAGAGAATAGTACTGTTAGCCTTACAGCTTTTGAAGATGGATAAAATTTTTTAAAGAGCTTTCATTTAATGTAGTTGAACACAGTATATTTTGGCTTAGTAAAAAGTAGATGTTTGTTAACAAGTTCCAAATTATAAGCGGAATTTAAAACTATAAAAACTATAAATTTAGACACATTCTCTATTCTTTCTAGTCTTTTAAGATGAACCCATTAGAAGTAATTATTTTACTATTTATCAGTATGTATGAGAGAAAACTTTTGACTCACAGCATTAGGAATTTTTTAAAAGCTACTTTTGCATGTTCGATGTTAAGAGTCAATTTTTAAACAATTTAGCAATTAAGACAGTTTGATTTTGTTAGTGTTTTCTATTTACGTGAAAAAAATCACAACATAGATTATGGGCATGGGACAACATACTTCTATTAGGTTAAAATTGGAAGACTCAATAGCTTTGTAACATTTAATAGCTACACAAAAAGACATTATAGACTTTTAACAGTTTTTATTTCAAATACTACTGACAGTTTTATTACTTTATAGCTTTTTTAAACAAATATTGATTTTTTTTTTTAGGACTTCATAAATTACTTAACTTGAAATGTCATTGCAGTAGGCAAATCATTGATTTTCATACAATCATTCAAAGACATTTTGCTTTGGTTGGTAAATTAAATAATTATCAAATTAATCCTTTGTGTCCTGCCTTTTTTTTTCACTCAACTCATCCATTAATTTTCACTCCCCTCTTCCTCCCTTCCCATAACTTCTAAGACTGATCCTGTGTTTAAACTTTGCCTTCCATACCCATGTTTGGTTTTTGTTTTTTTCATTAAAATATTTTTAGTATTAATGTAAAATTTCCTTTTCCACTGAAATACACAAAAGTTTTAAATATATCATCACTGAACAATAAATCCTACTGACATAAAATGTTTTCTAAATATGATAATCTTTATATTAAGAATTTCAACATATTTTTCACTTGACTATTTCCTGGGCAGTGCAGAGGCAAATTGAGAGCACTTAAGACCATTATCATTATAATTCATACCCATGCTTTTAGTGATGGAAAAAGTACTTGTTCTAAAGAACTAAAGAAAAAACTGGAAGAAAAACATTAAAACAAACCAGTGAGGAGCTGAGTATGTGGAAACGTTCAACACACTTGAACTCTACTTGTCTTTTCTCTGGTTGCACAATATTTTAAATGGCAAGGATGATGGAGGGTATCAAGCAACCAAATCTTTTTGTCCATAATTTCCATTAACATTCTTCCAATGCTAAGACCGGCATTGCTTTGGCTTAATGTTAAGTGGCTCTTCATCAGGTGCTTGAATATGACTATTAAAAAACAAGTGATTTGGATTTATTAGGATAGTTGTGCTTTCATAAATTTCATGTGATACACAGCTCAACAAAATTCTTTCTATCCCCAATCAAGGATGGAGTGCATCATTCCAATGACAGAGCAGATTACAGCCAGGGACTGGGGTTTCCTGTCTTGAATTGGAACTCTCTGAGACTAGAAATCACAAATCTTTATTATCCTTTTCTCCCAGCCTGTAGAGGAAACTACCAATTTATAAGGGCATTGGCTATGAATGAGCACGTCAGGCTCACAGGGGCTAGACAGGAGTCATAAAGGCTGGTTCCAGACGTCTGTTAAGCTGAAGGCTTTGGTTAATTTATTTAATTTTTTTTTTTTTTTTAAGTAAAGCATCATAATAATAGTAGAGATTTGACTCCTTTCTCATGTTTCTGCTTTGGAGTATTGGCTGTTCAGAGTTGGATGTTATGTTTGTTGTTTTCCCTTCTACAGAGTGCTGATGCTGTAAAAAAGGCTAGAGGTTTCTTGGAATTTGTGGAAGACTTTATTCAGGTTCCTAGGAATCTTGTTGGTAGGTAATTTTATTAAATGTTTAATAAGTTCAATTAAGTTCATTTAGGAAAAGCGGTTGGATAGTAATACTTGTTTTAGCTTTTTTCTTGGTAACATTACATATGACCACACCTAGGTATTTGTCATTGGCTAAAAAGTAAAGGTACTGTAAGGAGTGACTCATTACTAAGATCATTTGTCGTTATCATTTTTCTTCATTTTTTTGGGCTCTTCCCTGTACTCATTCCCTTAAGATGTCTTTTTATCATTCATATATCCACCAAAGTTGACAGAACTTTTTAAAAAAGATGTTTATGGTAATATTTTTCTTCCGTTTAGAGTAATAAGCTTATATAGAATAGGCCTTAAATAAATAGTAATTGTTAAAAAGACATAGAGTAAGGTAAGACGTCATAGCAGTAAAGAACCATAGTGCTGATGATAAGTTGTTTTTGTGTACTCTCGAGTTGGATCAGACCCATAGCAGATTGGCGAACAAGTTTTCCGAGGCAGTTAAACGCACAAGAGGAGATTGCTTGCTCTTCTACTTGGAGCAGCTGATGGATTTGAACTGTGTGTCTTCATTGCAGCACAGCTTCTTAACCATTAGGCCACCAGAGCTCCCTAGCTAATGATATGAGGAGAGGTTTTACTAAGATTTTGACACCATAAATGAAAGCTATAGGTTGTAAGTTAAGTGACAAAAATTTGAGATAGGAGCAATGATTAAATAAACATAGCTTGAGGTGAGTTGTATATGCTAGCACTGTATTTGTACTTTATCTTAGAAGTAATGATTAAATAAACATAGCTTGAGGTGAGTTGTATATGCTAGCACTGTATTTGTACTTTATCTTAGAAGTAGGTTTTGCAGCATTTGAAAAACTTTTGATTAACTATTCAGTTATCATCCTTAACATTCAATATAAAGAAACATCAACACAATGGTAGTTGAAATGGATGAGGTTTTCCCCCTTACTATCTTTTTTTAAGGAAATTGTTTCCGCTTCTTTAGTACTATTTTTTGAATTGGGGTCTACATCTGACTATAGAAAAGAATTTATTAGTTACCATTGTGTTTGTGTTAACTTAATGTGAAGCAAAAGCTTCCGTTACAAAGAATTGTCTCAGCTAGTGACAAGTCGTTGATTTAGGGAAATTAGCTTACAGCATGATTTCTTGGAATTTAAAAAGCTTTCATTTTAAGCTGTACTGAAGTATTTGGATACATAATACACTGCTGATTCTGTAGACTTTGCTTTATTATTTCTACCATTTTTAATTGTATGGTAAACTGGAGATAGATGTTGCAATTCTAAGATTTCTATAAGCATAGACTCTTGCCTGGCTTTTTGGAATATTGAGGTATCAAATGTTTATCTTTGTCAAATGAAATTACTTGTCAAGAAAGCAGCTTTTGAAAATATATTTAAATCATAGACAGTAATTTTCATCTATTAAGTGCTAATAGTGTGGTAGCTACTCTAATAAGAATTTCACTTTACTCATTTTCCTTAGTGGTAAAAATGATTTGGAGATGGGTTCGTTCTTAGTAATTTTTTGCCTTCAGGAGATTGTGGTATTGAGTAAAATTTCCCAGTATTTCCAAAATCAGGAAACTGAGTATATTCGTTCTCAGATTGTTCTCATTTACCAGTGCATTGCTGTGTGAATTTGTTAATGTCTGTTTTCCCCTTTATACTATCTTGGTTGGATTTTATTTGGGCTGTTTATGTATTCTTCAGGAAATAAAGAGTAACAGCACCTGTTACATATTGGTGACATATTCTGGAATAGTGTTAAGAATTTTCATTGACTACTATGTATAAAATGTAGTGAATTCTTAGTCTGAGTTAAAGAAAAAAGAGGAATGGGGCATAAAAAGAAGTGAGGACACTGGTGGGTAAGTCTCAGAGAAGATTCCCTTTCCAAAAACAATTCCTTTGCATTTGTGTTCCAAGAGTTGTAGATCTTGATCATTCTCACTCCTCCCAGATCAGAAGAAAAAAAAGTATGTGAACATGGATTTGAAAATGGATCAAAACGTTTCAACTCCTTAAAATTTTCCTTAATCACGTCTCTACTCTTTCCCTTTAGCATTTATGTTCCATTTATACTACAGGTCTGCTCCAGTTTGTCAGTATGTCCTGGTATTTAAACTTGATCAGTTAAAATATTGACAGTCCCTGGTGGGACTAAGTAAAACTTTTCAGGTAGGTCCCTATCAAGGACCCCAAAAGGTTGTTGATGGATGTCACTCTGGCTTAGTTAACAAGAAATAAAGGGTGAAGATTCTTGCGGGGGGGATCTTCATAGATCATGACTTTTCATTTGTTAGAAAAGCTTGTTTTGTCAGGGTCAGAGGTGAAGTTACTCCTTAAACTTTGCTGTACTAATAATGAAGTTGGCTTTTATATGCTCATAGGACTCCTCAGATCATAGATGTGAATTCCTTCTCCATTTTGTGTTTATGCTTTAACATTGAGTTACTAATGGGGAAGAATGTTTGGGAATATGAATAGTCGACTGAAACAGTCCTACACATAAGAGTGTTTTTTTGCTGTATTGATGAGTTTACTATTGTCCTTTAATTTTCTAATGGAAACTGTTCTTTTCAAACATGCAGTAGAAAAACTTCAATTATAACTCCTTTCAATTAGTAGTCTATTTCTTGGGGTGGTGGTGGAATTTTTATTTGTGGAAATGGATTCCTGATTTGATTTAAAAGATTGGGGATGTTGATATAATACGATTAAGGTTCTTCTGTTCGCTTTTCAGAGAGTACATATATGCATAAACTAATTGTTACTGCAATATTTCTGTTATAAGAAATGGTATGCACTATTTTTAATGTTTTGTGTGTATATATAACTAAAGAGTAAATTTCTAGGAATAAGAGAATTTTCTCTTTAGTTCTTTAATTTATTAGATATTCAGTAACTCCATTTTGCTAGACTCACAAGTAAAATGTGGAGAAGATAATTTGAATTTTATATCATCTTGCAGTGTTTTCCATATCAAGCAAGGCAACATGCATGTCATATATCATAATGTTCTTGCATTGAGGTGCAAAAGTACACACTTTTCAGTGTAAAATGTAATACTTTATGTAAGCTTTCTATTTTACTGACAAGAGTATTAATTTTAAAAGTATCTTGGTTTCACAGGTATTTTGGTCAAATAGAAATATGGAGTTAAAAATAAGATTGCTAGATTTGTTGTATGAATTATGATGTCCATGAGAAGAATAAATAAAATCATGAGCAACAAAATAAGTTTGTTATGTTTATTTATATATGTAGGCTTTTAAAATGGGGTAGAGGTATAAGCCATGAGAAGACATAAACTGAGAAGACTTTTTAAAATGTCTTACATGACAGGAGCATTGTTAATTCCAGTTATATGGAAGAAAAATAGGTGATCAAAATTTAAATTCCTTGGTAGTCTTCAGGATGAACTAATTGAGAATAAAAAAATTGGTAGCGTTTACTTGGCTGTTACAGTCTGATAGTACTGTTAATGAAAGGATAGCAGTATTTTTAACTTAATAAACTTATTTTATTAAAGGAAAAGTAATTGGAAAAAATGGCAAAGTTATTCAGGAAATAGTGGACAAATCTGGTGTGGTTCGAGTGAGAATTGAAGGAGATAATGAAAATAAACTACCTAGAGAAGATGTAAGTAATTCCCTTACCTCTTTTTCTTATCTGACCTAAAAAGTTGTTTTATATTCGATATTATTTTTTGAAATTGCTGTAGATCTGTTTAGCTACAAACCCTCTAACAGTGTGTTTGCTTTTTATTTTTCTTCTGTGCCTTGTAAAATTACCTTACACTTTAGAAACAATTTATCTTTCAGTTGTGAGATCCTGAGTTCTTTGTTGGTTTTTTCTGTTTAATAATAATAATAAAATCTTATTACACAATTTCAGTTTGGTTTATAATCCCAACACTTGTTGTTTTATCTTTAGTTGTTTTTTACTCATTTCAGATTATCGTTCACTGTTTTGACTCTAGTTAGAAACTATACTTGAATTATTGACAAATTTATTATAAGCAATTTTAAAGCAAATTATAAGCAAATTTATTAAAGGAAGCCATCTCCTTTTTTCTTTTTTATGTTGTGCCCGCCCTCCGCCCCTTATTGTTTATCATTGAATCAGATCCACTTGGAACAGATTACCCCTCCTTCTCTAGCAGAACATCTGGTTTATTTGAACCTCCTTTATTTCTTTTTAAAAAAAATTATATTGGTTTGCCTACTAGCTTTGTAAATATTGTACTTCACTCTGCTTCATGCATTCCTTCATTCACATTGTGATTTATACACTTATACATTGTGTTTTATAAAATCAATCACCATTGATTTATGTCTACCGTTACCCTAGTGTTACAGGTCCGAATTGGAACTTCTTTATTCCTTTACAACTTCCCCATTCACCCACTGGACTCAACTATCTTAATGATTTTCCCCTCTCCTCATTTCCTCCCTCTGGCCCCTCTCCCCTTCCCTTTTTGGACTTTTATACACATCTTATTGGTTATCTTTCTATTTTATTTTACATATTGATCTTATGCATTAGTTCACTCAGCATAATGCATTCTAGATTCTCATGTTATGTAGTATTTTATGAAATCATTGCTCTTTAGTGCTGCATAGTATTCTGTTGTGTGAATGTACCGTAATTTTTCAGGCCCTTCATTTGTTGATGGACATTCAGGCTGTTTCCATTTTCTTGCTATTCTGAATAATGATACTGTGAACATAGATATACAAATACCCATTTGTGTCTCATTTCTTTTTTCTTTGGGCTATATTCAGTGGAGTAGCAGTGGGTCATACGGGATCTCTTTGTTCAGCTTATATAGTAAACACCAAATTGCCTGCGAGATTGGCTGCACCATTCTACAATCCTACTAGCAATGCATGATAATTCCAATCTCTCTGCCTCCTTTAACTTTTTTTTAATGGCAGCATTTTTAAAAACATTTTTACTAGTTTATTTACAAACTTTGAATACATTGTTTTCAAGAACAAATTATTTCAGTTTCCCTCACCCCCCACCCAGCAAATCGTACAACCTCATGATTAATCCTCCGGACCCCTGTACATCCTCATCCCTCTGCTTCTAACCTCTCCCACGCCTCTTGGATCCTTATACTCATTCTGCAATAATGGTTTTATACAATATTTATCCTTGTGGGACTCAGTTTCAGCAAGCAGGGTTGTGTCATCTGCATAACGCAGATTGTTAATAGATCTTCCACCAATCCTGACACCACACATATACTCATAGAGCCCAGCCTCTCGGATAATCTGCTCTGCATACAGGTTGAAAAGGTATGGAGATAGGACATATCCCTGGCATACACCCATCCCAATTTTGAACCATGCAGTGTTACCTGCTCTGTTCTGACAACTGTGTCTTGGTCCAAGTATAGGTTTCACATTAGCACGATTAAATGTTCTGGGATTCCCATTCTTCTCAGAGTCAGCCACAATTTGTTATGATCCACGCAGTCAAATGCCTTTGCATAATCAACGAAACACAGATAGACATTCTTCTGGTATTCCCTGCTTTCAGCTAAGATCCATCTAACATTAGCTACAATATCATAGCTTTTAATGCCTATTTCCATTGAGTACATCCTGTTTGTTGTGTTGTTGTTATGTGACATCGAGTCTCTTGCGACTCTTAGCGACCCTATGTACAACAGCCCTAAATTCTGTTCTGTCCTGTGCCAATTGCACTGTCTCTGACACTCTGATCCTGATTGCCCCAATCACTGAATCAATCCACCTCATAGAGGGTCTTCCCCTCCTGTGCTGTCCCTCCACCCTCCCAAGCATGACGTCCTTCTCCAAGGACCGGTCTCTCCTCACAACATGTCCAAAGTGTGTTAGATGGAGCCTCAGAATCCTTGCCTCCAAGGAGCCACCCGGTTTAACCCTTTCCAGGACAAATCTGTTTGTTTTCCTAGCAGTCCATGGTATTCTCAATACTCTTCTCCAGCACCACAGCTCAAAGGCATCAATTCTCCTTCTATCCTCCTTGGTCATTGTCCAACTCTCTGATGCATAACAAGTGATTGCAAAGACCATGACCTGTATCAGACGCACCTTCGTCTCGACACCATTGCTCTTCAGTACTTTGGAGAGGTCCCTAACAGCAGATTTTCCCATGGCAATACGCCTTTTAATTTCCTGGCTACTGGTGCGAAGAGTGTTGACTGTGGAACCAAGCAAACTAAAGCTGTGCACAAGCAAACTAAAGCTGTGAACAATCTCAATCTCTTCACCATCCATCCTGATGCTTCCAATTGGTCCTGTGGTGAGAATCTTTGTCTTGACATTGTACCTCAGTCCATGTTGGAGGCTGCCGTCCTTGACCCTCTGCAGCAAGTGCATGAGGTCCTCTTCAGTTTTAGCAAGCAGGATTGTGTCATTTGCATAACGCAGATTGTTGATAGATCGACAGAGCTTTAACAAAAAGTAACAAATAAGCCCTCCTACCATTATTCAGTATGTATTTGAGATAAATTAACAGTGTCTTGCAATTATACCTTCCCTTTATTATTAGGCAGCTCTGGTGGGGTCGTCTCTAGAGTGTTATGCTGCAAACTCAAATATGATGCATCTCTGTCAGTTCAAATCCACCAGTGACTCTTGGGATAAAGACAGACAATTCCGTCAGCAGTTTATAACCTATAACCACCTGCTTGAAAGTCGCTGCTGACTCCACAGCAATGAGTTTTTTTCTCTCACTGACATGGTGAGGTTCCAAAGAACAAGTGCCTGAGACAAAAACAGAAGACAACCACATTGGATCATGCAGTAGAGTAGTAACTACATCATTATATATTGTCAAACCTCTGAGTATCATGATCCAACCAGGTTGACAAGGAACTTAACCACACCTTTCCCATAAGGATTTGTTATTTCTGTGTATAATAATAGTGCACAGAAAAAGTAGATTGTACATTTTTTGCTGCTGTTGTAAATTACAGAATAGAAGCAGGTACAATTGATGTTTTTTCAGATTCTTTTCTATTTCTTGGTGATCCATTTAGTGTACCACCGTCACCTGAAAAACCGTTTTGGAAGTAATAATATATACTAGCCAGGGCTAGTAAATAGTTGTAATATAAATTTCTAAGCTTGATAATAGTATCTGATCCAATATTAGATTAATTTATCAGGCTGTTAGCTTTCCATTATGGAAATTTTTTTGTTAGCTAATTCATCTGGGTTTCTGTCATAAATGAGAAATTACTGCACTCTTCCTGTGATTGTAGTTTTGATCAGTGTTACTGCCATTTTTATACCAAAAGTATGGGTTACAGAGCATTCCTAGAAATAATTTAGCAGCTTCAGATGTACGTGACAAAGGTAAAAGATGGCAATGCCTGTGCATTCAAAGAGTGGTAAGACTCAACTCTTAATTTAGTTCTGGATTACATTTTTTTTGTGTTGTTTTCTAAGGTGTTTTTTAAGAAAAGGTAGACAATTGTATTTTTATGTAAGATAAATCTATTTTTTAGGGCCATGCTTAAATAAATCCAGAAGTTCCATTTTTGTTATTGAGGATACTATTTTGGAAGTTAAATGGCTTAAATTCTCTTGGAACTTCAGTTTATAACTAGAAGCCTTTGATGACCCATCTTAGCTTGAGGAGATCTTTCTTGCATGTATACAGTAGCATTATTACCTAAATAGTTTTGCACTTAGAGATTTCCCCCTCAAGTCTCCAAACTAGGTTATGTATATACCTTGAAGTCAAGTAGTCAGATCTGAATTGTTTTGAATCTGCATTCTTCTTTGGAATTGTAGAATAGGCAATTGAAAAGAAAGTTTTTTACAAAATTTAAGTTCAAATATTTTACATGTTAATGTAAAACTTGAGTTGTACAGAAGAATGTGACTTGGGGAAAAAAGTGTGTGTGTTCTTTTCCTTTTCTCCTCGTAGTACTTAGTAGATTTTAGTAAGTAGTTAGCATTCATATTTAGGTCTCTTTTTTTTTTTTTTTTTTTACTGGGAAAAACATGTTGGGGATACAAGGAGGTGAGGGTTGGGAGTAGAAGGGTGAGGATGGGCAGAATCAGTAGACTAATTAATTGCATTTGTGAAATCTGTCAAGGGCTTCTCCAGAGTGCTGTAGAGCAAGGATATCTCAGGCTAGAGACTAAGGTTTACCTAAACCAGACAGAGAGCTTAATGACCAAGGATGACAGAAGAATTATTGATGCCTTTGATATGTGGTACTGGAGAGGAGTATTGACCATAGATAGCATGGATCACCAAGAGAAGTAGTAGGTCTACCCTGGAGAAAAGTGAAACCAAGTTGCTACTTGTAAGCAAGGAATTTGAGACTCTGTCTCACATACTTTGGGCATGTAGCCAAGAGGCACCAGTCTTTGGAGAAGAATATATATCATGCTTGGAAGAGTGGAGGGGGGACCGCTCAGGAGAGGAAGATCCCCGGAAGAGATGGATTGATGACACAATAACTGGAGTAATGAGGGTAGATCAGGGTTCAGAGATAATGTGCATAGGGTAAATATGAGACATAGTAGACAGCAACATACCACACAGTGTTGCATTGACTTCTTGTGAGTTATAACTGTTGAATAAATCCATGGAAGTGGGCTTGTTAGGTCAGTGGGTTATATGGCATT